CTATTTTAAGAGATCTGAGCAGTGGATTCTGCTTTGAAAATGAAATATTGTTTATCTGCAGTTAAGCAGTTAAGTAAAACATTGTGTGTAACTGTGATAAGATGCGTGGGGATTGTTAATAATGCGCTTGGTAAATTGACAGTAGAACTGTTATTGTTAAATGCTGAGTGAAATTTACTTGTTCGCTTTCATAGAACAAATTACGCAGTATTTCAGAAACATCATTGATCCGATCTGAACTCATTGTCAGTTGGTGTTAATGATTGTTGGACAGTACTACGCTTTTTATCGACAAGCAAGTTGTTAATGAACTTTAGGGTAATGGAAGTGTTCTCAGTAGTTTTTCATTGGAAATGCAAATTCCATGACTTTTTAGAGAACTAAATATGTTTTCACTTTATTGAACAATTCAGTTATTTAGTGGTGAGTCATGTTTGTATTTTCAATTTCGATAATTGTCCAAGTTATTCCAGGAATTATTCCTAAGTAACTTGGCAAGTTGTTTAATTGTTACTAAAGTTAATGAAACTTTTGTTATGCTGATGTCACTGGTCATGTAGAAAGGGAATTTTCATTTATTGCATGGTCGTGATGTCTCGAACATGTGACCCTTGTTACTCTGAAGATAGTGATCGTCTGATCAACTGGACGTCTTTTTGTGAGTGTGAGATGTATGTGACGTGGATTACCATATAATGAGTGGAAACGCGGGTGCTAAAAGTGTTTGTTGGAGATAATCTGTATTCGTATACTGCTTTGTTGGTGGGAGGAATGTAAGGTATTTGCCTGCTTTTGCGGTCGGATCACAACTGATTTAATCGTTCTCCATAAAACGATACGTCGTTGGTTGAGAGCGGTTCATTTGAACCGCCAAATGAACCGCTCTCAACTTTGATTCATCTAATTCATGCCAGCTGTTAACTAATAATGAATCCCGAAAACTGCAATGATCAATGCATAATTTATTAGCTGGAAATTTCACGGCTGGAGCGAGTGCTTTCTCAAAACAATGGTACTGGTGTTTTCATGTCATGTCCCGATGGAGGAATCATTAATACTGGCTAGACCAAATTTTGCCATCTTGTCAGGCTTGGCATCCCATCAAGTAGCGGTATTACCTGTACAGTACTATATCTCCTAATTCACATGACTAGGAATCCCCAAATACATCACATCGCACAAGCGCAGTTTACACAGCATTTGTACTAATACTGCATTATATAGCAACTCCTAGGGTTTGAAATTCTAACATCTTGATTGCAGCTGATGAATTTACCACACTGATTAACAGATTATTCTCCCACAAATTCATAAGATCCAGTCACCTTTAACAATGGAATTGAAGAGTTTCAAAATACCACAAAACACTGCACATTTCTACAATACTATTCTTTGTGAAAATTAAAAAGACGCAAATTAGTTTTTACTGTAACATTTCGTGAGATAAAATCAAAATACCTTGAAATATAACAACTGTCTTCCCTAAACATTACAGCTAACTAAGCATACATGAATTAATCTATGGAGGCAGAAAAAAGAATTCATTAGTTCATAATAATGTAAACAACGAAACACTCCATAGCCTATTGTTTAAAAAAAAAGCTATTGTTTAAAACTAGCTATAAACGAGGTCACTAGATCCTTTAACTTTGCATCAGTTTGTGGAGTTATTTGACCTTCTTCACGAATCGTTTTCAGCAATTCTTTTTGGGTCTGTCGAATGTGAGTTAAAAACTCTCTCTCAAAAACAGTTATGCGGGATGGGTCCAATTTATCAAGGTGTCCCTTAACACCAGCATAAATTACGGCGACCTGGAAATGCTTTATATTTAATATGCGTACATTTCACTCACAAATATAGTACAAGTGAAAAACAGTTTAATCGATACCAATCAGGAAGTATCTATTGAGAAAACACTGAGAATTCTTGGATAACTCGAAACCATTGATGGCAGTGATTTCAGATACCTTTAACTTACAACTAATACCTGCTCTTCGATAGCCATTGGTACATATTGTCCTTGTTTGAGAAGTTCCGTTAAACGCACACCACGATTCAACAGCTGTTGCGTAGCTGCATCCAAATCGGAACCAAACTGAGCAAATGCAGCTACTTCACGGTACTGAGCCAACTCCAGTTTCATTGAACCAGCTACCTAAAGGCTAAGCATAAAACGTCATTAATAAAGACGTAGCTATCCATCAAGTAAATTATAATTCATTTGTATACTCTAAAGAAAAGTACTGACTGTGGAATTTAGTAAAAAATAAAAATCCATTCCAGTACTTTCACTAGAATTATTGGCTTCTGATTGCGACTCATTAGTAATGGAATCTAAATGCTGAGTCTAGTCTAGCTGTAGATTGTAAGAAGCAATAAGCGATAAATTATAAACTTTGCATATCCTTCAAAACTGTTCAACTGTCATAACACCCGGCATTTGAATTCAGTTTTAATTCACTAACTTCTCATGGCTTCTTTAATCCATTTCTTTTATTTACCAATAAGCTAATAAAAACGGTAATTCTTCAATTTTTAAGAAGTAATGTGTGAAAAGTTTACTTGTTTTTTTTAAGAATACATTAGCGCTGTGTCGTGACCTATAATCTAACCTGTTTCATCGCTTTTGTCTGTGCAGCTGAACCGACTCGCGAAACTGACAAGCCAACGTTGATTGCAGGTCGTATGCCTTTATAAAACAATTCTGTTTCCAGAAATATTTGACCATCTGTGATTGAAATTACATTGGTGGGGATGTAAGCGGAAACGTCGCCGGCTTGAGTTTCAATAACTGGCAGTGCTGTAAGTGAGCCACCCCCATGAGAATCGTTCATCTAGAAAACTTTTCATGTGTGGTTGATAAAAGATTTTAGAAACTTCCATGAGGCTTCCATGAGGCATGTTCCACATATGAAGATGTAGAAAACGAAAACTAAGAACTGGAAACTACATGGGAATCATTATCCATCTAAGTATAAACAGACTTCCTTAGAAATTAAACAATTCTGACTCTAATAGGTGGAACATCATTTTTTTGAACAACTTGACATATTTCAGCAAAATTTTCCTAAAATTGGTGACAACAAATTTTATGACAGCGATAAATCTACTTTTGCTGCTCGTTCTAACAAGCGAGAATGAAGGTAGAAGACGTCGCCGGGGTATGCTTCACGTCCGGGAGGACGTCTGAGTAACAGCGACATCTGTCGATAAGCCACGGCCTGCTTTGAAAGATCATCGTAAATAATCAACGCGTGTTTTCCATGATCTCGAAAGTATTCACCCACAGCACAACCAGAATATGGTGCTAAATATTGCAGTGGTGCAGCATCTGCAATAAATAAATTTTTCAAGTTTTCAGTCTGTTGGCCGCACAATATGGTTAATATATATGTCAAACAATTTTGTACAAGAACCATCACAATAAAAGCGAAAAAATAAGCAGAAAAGAACCTGATGCCGTAGCCGAGACAATAATTGTATATTTGATAGCACCAGTATCAGTGAGTCGCTTTACGATTTGCGCAACAGTAGACCGTTTCTGTCCAATAGCAACATATATACAGTAAAGTTTTTTCTTTTCATCGCTACCTTCATTGAATCGTTTTTGATTTATTATCGTATCAATTGCAATGGCTGTTTTCCTATCAAAAGATTACGTTATAACAATACACATGAATGCTAATACAATGAAGTGAAATAAATCCTATGAAGTTAATAATTCTAGAATACATTTCCTAGAATAACTCTTTGTTAAGAACAGCAGAAACCTAAAACCAACTTTTGCAAAAAAAAAAAAACTTTCATACATACAGTTACTAAATAGTAAAGATCTAAGAATAAAATTGATAAATCGACTAGCGAAATAAAATATACCCAGTCTGTCGATCTCCAATAATAAGTTCACGTTGTCCACGCCCAATCGGTACTAACGAATCCACAGCTTTCACTCCAGTAAGCATAGGTTCACGTACCCCAATACGAGGGATAATTCCTGGAGCTTTGACACCAACTCGAGACCGTTCCGTGCATTTTATTGGTCCTTTACCATCAATCGGATTACCCAACGCATCCACGACACGGCCCAGCAATGCTTCTCCAACTGGGACGTCAACAATTGCTCCCGTACGCTTCACAACGTCACCTTCTCGAATAACCTTATCGTTACCAAACACCACCACACCTACATTGTCCGGCTCCAGATTCAATGCCATACCCTTTAAACTAATGACGCTTGAAGTAAAGAAAACTAATTTTTTAAGAATTAGTTATTTCCTTCCAGTTTACATGCCTTTTTACCCACATAACACATAAACTGTCATGTAGATTTTCGAACCATAGAAGCTTTCGACGGAAACAATGTTCGAAAATCTATGTGACAAGACATCTGATGCTCCCCATCATTCTTGTAGCATTTAAAGCTGTCTTGCACATAAAAATGAGTAATCGCTACCTTCATACCGCAATCGAATTCCACCATCTCTTCAGCTTGAATATTTTTGAGACCATATACGCGAGCAATACCATCACCAATAGAAAGTACTTTACCGGTTTCTTCAAGATTGACGGTCGACTCCTGTCCTCGTATACGATCTTCCAAAATTTTTAACACTTCTGCACCAGCTGCGCAAAAGCGACCACTTGTTCCGAAACTGTTTGATGAAGCCTAAAACTTGATTTGATCTTTCCACTATGATGGGATATCTTGAACTGACAGCGAATTTCCCATAACTAGATGCGAAATCAATCCAAATGCTGTAAAAAATTGCTGCGGAAGAAACAGACCTTCGAAACTCTAGCCACTGTTAACAACAGCTTTCTTGACAGCATCTTCCCGGGTAGTACTTGTCTGAAAACTAATTCAAATATACATGAGTGATTAAGTAATGCTATTCCGCCAATAACACATTTTAAAGCAAAACAAGCAAAGGGAAATCCAGAAAAAAACTATATTGATAGTTTCAGCACGATAGTACAAATGCCCTAATTCTACGTACTAATGTTCTCAAATCATCTCAAATGTTACGTTCGTGCCGTACCAGCGTCACGTGACACATATCAGACAGTTCAACGTCAATACGTCAAGAAACACCCACAACGGTGTACGCCACTCAGCCTATGCCGCCAGCTCTGTACAACTAGTACCACCCATCCATACTCATATACGCAACTAAAGAGTTGCTGGTCGAATTATATATTCTTCGAGCGAATTTAACCACAGCGACCACTATGAAATGAGTGTGTCTCTCGGGTAACTAATTTGATTACAAAAGTTGTAAGTGTGGTGTGTAATAAATGAGATTATTATGTCGAAGAGGGTAAACAGTCATGCATAAATCATTTATTAATTTGACATTACATTATGTCTCCAGCACTATGATCAACTGAATTCATCAAATTCGCTTAATCTGCCTTTAATGGAACTAAGAAATTAATTGAATAAATGCACCACTTCATATAATGTCTCTTCTCAACAAGCAACATTTATATAAAGGAGAAGTGATGTGAACTTGATATGTTTGGATGAAGAAACTGTTCAAGAAACCGGTTCTCGATTTTCATTCTCTCGCTTGACAGGTGTATACCGGTCTTTTCATTTCTGGTACATCAATCAGTCATCTCCGGATCCCGAAAACATTTCCTGTCACGAGATTACAATTATACAAAGGATAGGAACAAAGAGTGTTTGTCAATGAAAGAGAAGTGAGATTCAATTGAAAATACGAAAGAGCGTATGTTTGTGAGAGACTTTTAAAGTTATTAAAAGAATTTGAAGTCAGACAAAAAAGATAGGAGGAACATATGTTTTGTCTACTTTTTTAAGAATGGAAAGAAATGAGAGGAAGTAAGAGTTATTGCTAAAAGAAGTTTGAAAAAGGGTTGAGATGCTGATTGCTAATAGTATTCAGGTCTGTGCGTTATTGTTATCCCTGATTTATTGTCTCAGTGCTAAAATAATTTATAATAAATAATAAGGATGTGGTTTATTGAGGTCTAATTGCTGATACAATGCTTTAATCTTTCCATTTCGTTAGCCTCATTATTCGTTAACTTTTCATAGATACTTTTTTTTTAGACAAGATGGCTTATGAATGAACGTCGCGTGTTGTGGTACTGTTTGTATTTATGATGCGGTGCAGAACTTTAATAAAAGTAAATTAATTTGCAGATAAATCGGGAGAACTGGCTGATAAAGATGGCCAAATCTTACGACTATCTCTTCAAGGTTCGTTACTTGATTAATTCGAGATGATCCAGAGATCAGTTAGCTAAAGTGTAGCGATAAGGTAATGTTGGAATTTAGTCCTTTCAAAGAACTGTTACGATAATTCGCTTCCAATATGCTAATGAAAGCATTAACCTAAAGTCGGAACTGAGAGATGAAGAACTGGAAATTATCATTCACGTTATATCTGTTTTCAGACTTGACTCGTAGGTAAAAGCATAAAAAGAGAACTGAATTTCAAAATATTTAGAATGAGTTGAGTATACATTGAACCCACTTATATGTTTTTTTTAAGCTGCTTCTTATTGGAGATTCTGGTGTCGGAAAGACATGTGTACTGTTCCGATTTTCAGACGATTCGTTCAATAATTCATTCATCTCCACGATCGGTAAATGTTTTCCTATGCTGTTTTATAAATTCATATTAATATGACTCTGTTATATTGATTTATGAGAAGAATAAATATTTAAGGTATTGATTTCAAGATACGAACGATAGAATTGGATGGGAAAAAAATCAAACTACAGATATGGTATGTTTTACGTACATTTCCTTGTATAATGTTTGACTCACCTTTAAAAATTCTTATCAAGATCATTCACATATGAGAGAAATTACTTTGATTTTACTCATACACCTGAAGTTATCTTTGTATGAACTTCTCAATTCAAGATCTGTCTGTTAGTCTACCTATGGTAACTGAAAAATAATCTCTGCTATTTCCACTCTAATTGATGTACCACTAGAATATTTTTCAGGGATACAGCTGGCCAGGAACGTTTTAGAACAATTACGACTGCTTACTATCGAGGAGCTATGGTATGGTTACACTGATCTTTCCCAAAATTTATTTACAGGAAATTGCTACCCTTACGGTTATTTACATGAAAACCCATTGTGGCTCGTTAAATATTTTAAAAAAAAAAAAAAGTAGTTTGAAGGGGATTATGTTGGTGTACGATATAACGAATGAGAAATCATTCGATAATATAAAAAACTGGATTCGAAATATCGAGGAGCACGCATCATCGGATGTGGATCGAATGATTATTGGTAATAAATGCGACATTGAAGAAAGGAGACAGGTATCACGAGAACGTGGTGAACAGGTTAGTCAAATCTCGTGTTGCTTTACTACTGATTGGTTCCAGTCATTTTGCTGAGCGTTTCAGACTAAAGGAAGAAGCACACGAGGATATCTGCGTTCATGTTCACCTTGAGCCAGTTAAAACAGTGCTGGGCAAGAAATAGTAAATATCGCAAATATTCCTTTTAGGCGAGTTATATTCTTGTGCGAAAAGGAAGTTAACTCATTATTAAAACATTAAAGATTATGTTTGTGTTGCAGCTGGCCATAGAATACGGTACCAAATTCATGGAAACATCGGCTAAAGCTAATATCAATGTTGAAGAAGCCTTCTTCACGCTGGCCCGTGACATAAAATTGAAAACAGAACGTGCATCACAAGAGCACACTACTCAAAATACTGGTCGAATAACGGTCCACCAAACGCCAAGAAAAAGTTCTTCACTCTTTTCGGGTTGGAGATGCTCACTTTTCTAGTAGCAATTTACTTTTTTTTTGTTATTATGGCCACACTGCTATGAGGTAGTTAATCACTGTTTTACTGTTTTTTTTAAATGCGGGTTTTATCCTTTGACGTAAAAATGCTTCTCAAGTGCATACTTTTGTGCATTCAAATTATTGTATATTTTCAAAAATTATGAACCTCGTATTCACATTTGAATCCTGGATATTTTTAAATACTAGCAGGGTGTTCTAGTTACCCTTATTCTAGAATACCTGAATCGCATAATGCATCAAAAATACCTTTCCCTTTTCTTTTGATCTCTTGAACTTTTATTCACGTTGGGAGATTTCTGTCATTCCGTTTGTTACAAGAGGAGATGTCTCTCTTTTCGGTCTTCTTGACCACAATTTAAATGTTTCAAAATAACGCGGAAAAATGGAGATTATTGCAGAAGTAAAATCCGTTGACTGTGAACTCTACCTAGAATTGTTCCACAAGTTAGACTTTTAAAGATAGGCAGTCAAGTTCCGCTACAACCAATGATGCCGGTGAGGAAATAGAACTCAGTAGTAAAGCAGGCTATACATCTAGCACTGAAGTTAAACTTATCGTTAAGTGAGCCAATATGGTGATGATCTAAACATTGATAGGATAAAAAATAAATTTTGTACAAACGTAATGACCATTGCATTTCATTGTGTCATATAATTAATCAGACATAAGCTGTACCCGATGTATAAATATTACTTTTATATTTACGTTTATGTTTCTAAATCCAACCAATTTGATATTATTCTTTTCTCCAAAACTTTTATGGGTTGGACAGCATAAATCTATCATATGGAATTCTCAACAGTTACCTGATGAGTAATTACTACAGTTCGGATATAGAGGAACTCAGATACTTAGAGATAGAACGAATAATACATCACCGGAGCAGTATAATCAAATGTCTTTGGTAACAACGAGTGCAATGGCATATCATTAGAAGTATTCATCAGGTATATTATCTATATATTGATCGGCACACTTCCAATTTTGCCTTTTGCTGTTTTCAGTTCACTATGCATACATACATATACATAAATATATAACACAAAAACAAAAAAAGCATTACATGAAATTTAGAAATATAAAGAAAACAATTAATAAATACAAAGACGATCACCCGTGGCATAACAGGAGGCATCTTATAATTATAAGATCATATTTTTGTGGTTTCATCGTACAAGAAACACAAGAAACCAGAAGGTAAAAGAATTTTGGTTTTTTTTTTTTTTTTTTTTCTACGAATGGGAGCCTTGAAAATATTTCCTCTCACTACCAGTTTAATAAAATGCAATACACTATGTCAATGCCATCCTTTGCAAAATGATTCGCCATGAGAAAATAAAGTATTAAGAAACATGGAGTTCGTGGTAGTTCGCGGCTAAATTCTATTTGATATAAAACATCCAAGGAGTCGTTTTATAATTCTCGCCGAATTATAAAACGATAGTAAATTTCCCCATTTTAACTTTTTGCAAATTGAAGGAGAATAGTATTTTAATATGGACCAGCGAACCCAGTAAGTACCGCAATGAATTTTACCGCAAAAAAGCAACTGGAACAGACATATATGATGTGCAAATTTAAACAATTTAAAGAATCTAAAAAGCTCGTACAAATAAATTGTCACCGTCATTTCAGCGAAACGCACAGTCACACAAAGTATGAGCATATTATAAAAAATTATATGCATCTTAAATTCCATCGAGAAGAGTTTCGTAACCAAAAATATGGAGTCCGTTTAAAAGGAGTAAAGTAATGGAGAACTTCTGAAGTTCTTGAACTCTTCCAGTTTTTTGCACCTTAACCACTAAATTCAAGAATAAAACTTGGTGTGTTCGCATTCTCGTCCAAATTCGTCAAAATACAGCAAGAGAGATCAGCAGACGGACTATTAGAAGTGTAGGAAAATATAACTGACTTTGTACCCGGAAGTCAATGTTTATGCTTCATTCACTGGTCAGGCTCTTGACGGTTCAGAAATAAGAAAAAATACTAAGACAGTACAGCATCCTAAAGCTTTTTAAAGATATCAATGCAAATAGATGGAAGCATTTATGTAGCCAGTTACTCGATATCATTCGTCATTCCTGTGGTTCTTTACCTAGCCGTCGGAGTCGTACTGAAAACGAAAAGTAATTTTCCTTACAAAATTTGGCAGTTCTAGACCTCAAATATGGATGATGTACAAACTGAAGATTCTATAAAGCTAACAATGGAACTAACGTCTTTCATAGTTTCGTTCAAGGGCTTCCGAAACTCGGTGGCGTGCTTCCATTGATTGGAAAGATACACCAACGCGTAGTAATGATTCATTCTCTTCTACTGTAAGCATCATATCCATTTCTATTTGATTTCCTAACACGCTTGCTCGCTGAAAACAATAAAGAGACAATGGTGTTATTGGAAATGAATGATTTCAAAAGAATTACAATATAATGATACATTTTCTTCATTATATATAATGAATGAATTTAGTTAGGATGAAGCAATGAAAACTACTACCAATGGGAAGAGACAATGAAATAGAATGAGAAGGTATTTCTCCAGACAGAAAGAAAAGATTTATTCAGACCAAACTAAGTGGATCTCGACAAATGATTTCGGAAGTAATTTAAAAGTTTGCAGAAAAATTTTCAACTACTATTTGATGGAAAGTGATACAGCATGATGGTGTTACGCTTTGCTTTGTTGCAGAACACTTTGACTGTGACCCACACCGAAAAGATATAATAATAAGTGAGGACAGCTACCAGTACAAAATGAAACCTAAAACAACTGAAAATAACTCCTTCAGTTTTTTCACAGTCAATGTAGAAGAAAAAAATACTTGATTTTCAGCATGAAATTCAGTCAGATTTTGGGTGACAAGCGTAGCACGTAACAATTTTGCCAATAGCTCCGGTGTTATAAAATTCGATTCAACATTCAGAACACGCAACGATGGAGATGTTTCTAACAGTTCAACCAAACCCTAAAGAATATTTAAAGATATAATTTAGTCGTGATTCTTTTGGCCGCAAAAATATGTTGAGGACTGAAAAAGATTTTAAAATATCAAAAAAAGACTTTAAAAAAATACTAAAAATTTTATTAATGTGTATCGCAAAATAGATTACTTATTACATATAAAAACTGTCAAAAAGTGTGATTGTAATAAAAGTTGGAAGGAAGTGCGAATGTTGTAATCCATCATTAATTTTCCATCCAATTTAACTGTTGTTCTACTAGCAGCTTTTTGACTGCTTTATTCTATAAACATTTAATAAATATGACGCACCAATGTTTTGTAGAGCGTGTAAACCGACAAATGCTACACTACTTTACACCATCGCTTACTACTGACTGACATTAAATTGTTAGTGGGCTAACAAATATTGTAAAGTCAAAGGTATGCATAATGAAATAAAAGCACACTTACCCTAGCTTCTTGATCAGAAATAGCAGTATTGGCCATCGACAGCTTTTTAATGTGCTTGCTAGCACAGGATGCTTTAATGAGAGCCTTGATACGCTCCTTTGATATTCGCTTCATGTTGTTGATATTTATTTCAGTCACCATCTCATCATTTGCTTCAAGTTTTCTGTAATGTGAAATAAAGCTCCCACTTACACTCGAATTTAGAAATAAAACCTGTATTATGAAAACCTCGAATACGAAAAATGTTATAGAAGTTGAATGAACCTACTTGATGCATTCATCAACGTCAGTTTCATTTTCTGGTTCTTCCGGAAGAATTTTCGCTTCGAAAGCCCTAACAACACCGCTAAACGTAGTTCCTGTTGTTTCATCCTGACCTTTACCCTGCAACTTGAGCAAGAAGATAGTTTTCTACTTCTACATTGACGAGATAATGTTTACTTCATCGAAATACGAAGCTATTATAAAAAAATACAAAAGAAAGAGAACATAAAAATAAAATTTGTTATGAAATATAGAAAATAATTTTCTGTGATTTTTTCATATACAAACATAACTTTTGTATATATGCTATATTCATTTAAGCATTCCGTGTCCTGCTACCGCAGTTCATTTCACTGAAAAGCATAAATGGACATGTAGACCCAGTCCATTTAAAAATCAAAGCTTTAAAGATTAAACGTAAGGTAAAGATTAAGGAAAACTATCATATAAAGTCAGATTATGAACATGTAACACAAGTCAGATTATGAACATGTAACAGATCATATCATCATTAATTTTCACAATGACAACATAAACTAAAAATGCCAGCAATGAAAACGTCTCAGTGCTTAACATAATAATAAATGTCGTTAGTTATGACTTAACATTATTCGTCTTCACCGACGTTTAAGTTACGAGCGGACATCCAATTATTGGATTACACAATGGCACATAATACTATGAGAGTAATAATGACATACAAACCTTCAAAGCACTGTAATACTGAGATTGGTTGAGCAAATTGTGCATCCCAAGAATACCAGCTAAGTCAACGAGATCTTTTTCGGGCGCTCCATGAAGTGCTTCATCCAAATCGTCTTCATCATCATCATCCAAATCCAATTCTATTGGCATTTCCATTTTACCGGATTTCTTATCACTACTTTCTTTCGGCTCATAAATTTTTCCTACAACGAAATAAAACATTAGTCCATTTATACAGTAATAACTGTTTAATGAAAACAGTTTTTACTATTATTTTCTTATGACGTTACCGAATTTGTGCTAAGGTCGAAATTTGTGAATTCACTAGTGGCGATAGAACAGAATTGTGTATCCGTAAAATTATTCGCAAAAAAAGCTTGGAAAAAGTACCCACAGAAATCTTCTTTTATAGTGGTGAGTAATTCAAAAACATTATTTCAACTAAAACATTCTTCCGTCTTTCAAAAAGACTACAATTTACTACGTGAGTTTAAAACGGAAGCTCTTAAGTGATACAAGATAATGCTATTATCTTATTAAGTTCATCTGAATAACTAACCTCGTTTAATTCCTGGGCTAAAAGGTACCCATTCC